CTCAGAATCAATACAGACAGCACCAGACTATAGCACACTATTTGAAAGTTCGGAGGAAAACTCAGATACAACAGAAAAATCTAGTGACACAGAAACAGAAAAATCAGACATGACCCCATCCATAAGTGTTAAACCAAAAATAAACGTAGATTTAATATCAGATGAAGCTTATTTTGTTGTCAGTGACCTGCAAGATGCCACTGAATTCACCATAGAAAAGAAGCACTTTAAGAAGACCATGGAGGACTGGTACTGTGCGGCATTAGATTATTATGCTGAAAAGAAAAGTGATCATGAAAACTGTGCATTTATACCAGTAAAAGAGTTATATAAAAAGGGAAAAGAAAAGGAGGACCTTGGCGATAGCAAAGATGAATTTGATGAGGAAGAAATGAAGGTGCTCCTGGCCAAAAAAGCAAGTGAATTGGAAGAGGATGAACAAAGGAAAGTAGCAGACTATCAGAAATATCAAATGTTGGAAACTCAGAAGAAGTTAGCGGAGCTAACCCAAGCACATGACCGAAGAGAAAGAGAGCTACCTAAACAAAAAAACAAAAGTATATTTGATACAGTAGCAGAATACCTGGAAAAGAATCAGACTGGTCCAGATGATTATAAATTAGAAATTAACTTAGATAACAGTGATGATGAAGAAGAAGCATCTGACGAGGAAGAAGAGGCTGACCAGGGTGGTCAGGATGAGCAAGAAAAGAAAGAAATGGAAAAATTGGCGCAAATCTTTTCAGCAGCAGGACTAGGGGGAAAAGAAACTAAGTGGGCAGAATTCCCGAGATTCGGAGGAGGGGAAGATGACCCATATGAATGGCTTGACCAATATGAAGCTGCTTGTGAAGTGAATGGAGTAAAAGGCAATAGAATGTTAGACTTACTATCAACTAGTCTAGAAGGACCAGCTTTGTCATGGTGGAGAGCTGCTAGGAAAACTGTAATAACATGGGAAGCATGGAAATCAGAATACAAGCGTAAAAGATCATTTAAGTACCAATTCTTAACCAAATTCTGTGGACCTGAAAGACAACAGAGGTGGATGGAAGAACTTCGGAATTGTAAGCAAAGACCAGGAGAAACAGTCAGTGAATATTATGGTAAATTACAAACTTTGTATAGAAAGGCAGACCCAGCTAAACAATACCCAGAAAGAGATAACTATCAACAATTCTTGAAAGGTCTAAGAAG